CGGTGACGGAGTTAGTACACACAAAAGAAAGTACCTTTGTAAGAAAACAAGCCACACAGCACGTACCGTGATGTTTTGCCTCCCATCTACCCTTGGACAAGTCTCGCCACTTACGCTCATCATGAGTCGAACAGGCTGCAAGCTTCTGAGACCAATCCGCCAAGTCGGGAACCTTGCATGGCAGCCACGGGATTGCTAAAGAGAAGGAAAAGAAAACGTCTTTACGGAACCTACCTCCACCATAGACAAAAATAGTAATAACACGAGTGTACCACTTACGTGTGACATTCTATTTCTCATGAAACGGCAGGAACTCCGCGGGGATAACATCGACAGTCCTTACTCGGACGAATCGATTCATCCACCCTCGGTCCCCATCTTCTTCATCATCGACAACAAAGGGCCTGGTGGATCGGCATCGCAAAGTTATCAGGCCTCGGCAATGAAAGGGTCGGTACAATCTGATGAGATGGCTAAGGGTGAACTCGAGCCCGGCTTCTTCCGCAAAGAACCTTATCATCAGCATTATCCACCAGAACGACGGGTGAACCTATGCCAGGGTAGCCCGATATCTTCGACAGAAGTCGAGCACAACCCTATCAAGGGGGCCCAACGTAAAGGGGTACGTGTATACGTTCAAAAACCCTCTGTATAATCCGTGATGTTCTCTTCCGAGGAAGGTACCTGCAGTACCACCTTTTCTCCCCATCCGCAGTCTCTCCTCACTGCCTCGAGGTGTCCCTCTGCTATTGATAAAGTGAACCTTGATGCATGATCCCAATGGCCCTCGATATTGGGAGGTCTCTCTAACGAAAAGTCCCTCCTCGAGACAAAGCATCTTGAGGTTGGCTCGCCAAACGCCGGCGGTGTACCACCGATTGAGCGAGAAGAAGAGGCGGAACCCTCCTCTTCTTGGTGAACAGATTTAGGCGTAGCATCCATGGCTATGATAAAACAAGAGAACGAAAATAGAAACTCGGGCAAAAACATTGAATTAAAATGATGGATAGGCTGATGCAAGGAAGAAGAACTCTACGAAAAGGGATAGCGGCTCAAAATAACAGAATCTTCAAAAAGGGAGGAAACAAACTCATATATAGGGCAAGCGGCGACTGTCCGCCTACTCTAGAGGCCAATTAATTTCCACTAGGCCATTATCACTTTCGGAATAGTGTACCGACGGGACCATCCCGGATGCTTCATGGCCGTGCCATACAAGCGAAGCTGTCGCACAGCGTTCGAGGAGTCAGAGATTCCCGTATCGATCCAGCCTCCAGATGGTGCCCAATCTCGATGATCTCTGCTACCATAATTATAAGCTCTGAGGAGCCATAAATATCAATCTACGCCTCGAGGTGGTGCCCGACCTCGAGGATCTCCGTCAAAGCGGATATAAGCTCTAAGGAGCCATCGATACCAATTTAGCCTCGAGATGCTTCCCGATCTCAAGGACCTTTGGTATTACAGAACGGACTCCGTATGGGGGTCAACCTAAGCCTTGAGATGGTAGCCAATCTCGAGGACCTTCGCAGTTGCAAGCACGGGTCATTCACCCGAATTCCTTGGCCCTCGAACTACCTAAGCCCAAGTCGGTTCTCTCTCGGGATTTTTTAATAAAGCCTCAGTGCTATTTTCACCTAGATCAATTTAAATGCTCTCTCGGCTACTTTAGCCCCGGGGCCATTCGAGTCCAAGTGTATCCTCATCCGGTGTCTATCTATGACGCCTTAGGGCTGTCTTCATTTTTCAAAGCAAGTTTTCGAGGTCCCCCGAGTTCAGATAAACTCTCACTCGGCGACTATTCAAAAAGGCCCGAGGGCTGTCTTTATATTCAGGTGCCTAAGAGAGTTAGGTTTTGCTCTTAAATTTGAGGCCCCACTCCCACTCAATTCGAAGTCTCCAGTTCCGGCAGCCTAAGTTTGTATCAAGTCAATCCGGACTTGGTCCGAGGAACGGCAAAGGGTTTCAGGGAATATCATATTTACCAATCAAGAACCAAGGAAATTCTTACACCCAGGCCCGGTATTCGGACCGATCAATAAAGTCACATGCTCAGATTCTTTACAAACGCAGGCTAACGAAAATCTAGCATAAATCAAAGACAAATTAAAGAAACATTTTGTATTAATAAATGATGATTATAAAAGCCCACGAAGGGTCCTTACACAGAAATAAAGAAGCAAAAAATAATAGCTAAAGTCTAATCTACTCTCAGAGGTACATCCTCGGAAGCAATATCTACGAGAACCATTCCTTCGGGGACCCCATTTCAATCTTCCAAACGACGTCTTCGAGAACCTCCTCCGAAGCAGAAAAAGATGAAGAAGCAGAAAAAGATGAAGAAGAGGTCGTAGCCCGCCACCGAGCAAAAGCTCTTAACAGGCCGGGAAAATTGTGGTTTGGCAAAAAATTTGGCTAGTATGGGTCTCGCCATCACTACTATTGTGAAGCCACTTCTTGAGACGTTGCACCGGTGTGGGATGCAATTGTTAGTAAATGAGGCCACTTCACTCCGGAGAAAGCAAAGGAAGTGAAGTCCCATACCAGGTTGAAGTTAAGAGAGATGAACAACAGTTCAAAGACCACATATCCTCTGATGCAGGAACAATTGGAAACTCCTCTCTCATCATTTCTGGCCAACAACAATAACAACAAACCAGTACGATCCCACTCAGTGGGGAAGAGCTCTGAAAGGGAGCCATGGCATAACTGGCTAAACCGCTATCGTGTGACCTTATGGTCATGGGCTCGAATCATGAAAAATAAAGTTTGGATGAGGAAGAAGAGAAGAAAGGAGTTGAAAGATGTTGAAGAATGATTGGATGGAGTTTGATTCAAGAAACCTCCCATTTATCGAAGGGCAGTAGCATAACCAACGGCAGAATCAATGCCTTTAGACGTACCGCTAGGCGCAATCAATGCTTTTTGGGAAACGAATCGGCAGCGATATGACCACCTTTGGGGAGAATAAACCGGCAGTGCAATGAATGCCTCTGAAGATGGATTGACAGGATGTTTCCAGTCGCCTGGAGCACTAACGTCACAAGCATGATGCCATCACGAGATGTTCAAGAAAGTCAAGAGTCAGGATCGTTTCTTATCATTGTCATTCTAAGAAATGCGGGGACTATCTGTATACGGTACACCATTTGAAATTTTTGGTGCGACACCTTTTGGTGCATTAGACTTGAAGAACAAAAATAATGAAGTAGAACGAGCCAATTATCACCGGGTGAAGCACAATTTAGGCAAGGCTAGAGATAGACACGTGGTGGCGGTCATTTACTTCACTTGAGGGTATTTTGCTTCGTGTCGCGATGTTAAATCAGGTGCTTTTTGGGAGGCAACCCATGTTCTTTTCCTTTTTCTTTTGTAGTTTTGTATTATTTGTGTTCTAACTTGAATTGATGTGTGCTACAGGGTTGAGTGTCACTTGCAAGAAAGCTGAACCAAAAAATGGCTAAGCGTTCAAGGATCTACGGACCGCACTTTATTTTTGTGGACCGCACAATTCTGTGTGCCAATGCTGGAGGACATTCAAGGCCGCACATTTCTCATGCGGACCGCACAATGGGAACCTTGCCAAAGTGCAAAAACTCTATGAAGTTTGAGCCTGTCAGTACGGGGCTAATCTGCAACCGCAAGGCGTTTTGTGCGGCCTATATACGGTAAAAATTAGAAGGCCCGATTTTATGGCCGTTGTAACGCTTCGCAAGCGCGTCTCCAAAGGCTCGAGGCATGGCTCGAGGTTTGACCCCGAGGGTTCCAAACATTCGACCTCGGGGCAGTGCAAATTGATGATTATCATGGGAGAGTGGGAAGTTCCCAAGGTGCATGATCAAAGCTGAGAAAACCTGCAAGAGAAGCACTAGTCTGTACCAAACTAGTGAATAGCTATACCAGCTATATTTCTTTGTAATAAATGCATATGTACCATATTGGGATTTCCCCTCATATATAAAGGGGATCCTTGTTATTTTGTAACACATACAATATACAACACTCTACATTGAATACAACAAGCACAAGAACACTCTCTGCTCTCTAACTTAAACATATTCTCCTTTAATATTATTATTTACATTTATTCCTTACATTTATTGTATTTCATTGATTGTTCTTCATTTATTGCTCATCATTGATCATAAAAGAGCCCTCATCAAGGCCTTTAGAACTGTTAATTCCCCACCGACTGTCCACAGCCTAATGTATAGCTCGACCTCGAGGCCCCGTATTAGCCAGCTCGAGGCCCCGTTTCTCAGCCATTCGGTTTGCTTAACATGTTACCTTCAAGCTCTTAACCTATTTTCTAGTCACACACTTCGCATCTATTGCCTAACAACTAGAATAAAAATAAATCACGTATTTTTAGAACAAAAAAATCAAATATAATTGTACTTACCATTTTCAAGGTAAACACGGTCGCACTAAAAAATGTACGGACCGCACATCAAGATCAGAGAAGGCTGACCCAAGTGATAGAGTGCATACCGCACATGGAAATCTACGGCCCCACTCGCCCCTTTTCCCTCTTAAACCTCTTGGTATATATAGAAGTTTGGAGTTCATTTTTCACTTTTCACTCTCCTAACAAACATTGTTTTCCCTTTTCCTTCCTAACAAATTGTTGAAGGCTAGTGCTTCTGCGGCCGCACTTACAATGTGCGGACCGCAGAATTCTGTGAGCTGCCGCACTTAGCCATTAGAGGTCTACAATTTTTGAGACCCTATGTGCAGACAGCCTCTGCACTGTCTTCAGAGAGAGGCTTCTGAGCCTTTGAAGTTTGATTGTCTGAAGTGCGGCCACACTTGAAATTGTGCAGACCGCACTTCCATTCTGCGTCGCACATTAAAAATGTACAGACCGCATAACCCAATTCTCGCCCTGTTTTTTTGTCATAACCACACTATGTCCACAATGTTCTCCCTTGCCTACATAATTCTTGAATGTGTTGAATGATGACTTGCAACTAACAATCTTCTTTTCTTTGATATAGACAATGGTTCAATCGTGCAGCCGCGGCGAAACTACAAAAGGAAGAGGTGAATATTCTAGAAGTCGAGGTAGAGGTACCTTGCCCCTTGGCCAACCCAAAACTATTCGGAAGAAGTCCACAACTGGCAGAGAGATAGGTGCGGACCTCTCCGAGTCTAGTTCCTATGTCCCGTCTATGGCAGCTTCCGAGGGCAACTCAGCCTCTATTCAGGAGGACCTAGCGGCCACACAGTCTAGGCCACATGAGCGATTTCAGCTCATGGATGAGGCCTCTTTATCTCATAGCACTCCCAAGAGGTCGGAATGTGCTAGCCAGACCTCTGAGCCAGCAGCTGCCCCAAATACAGATGCACAGATTGTACAGGATATCCCCGATGATGGTAGAGAGGGAGATGGTAAATCCACGGGTGTGGAGAGATGTAAGAAAAATGAAATATAGGAGGATAGGTTCGTCACCGTGGCTGCCTTCACTAATTTCCGCATATGGTGGCCGGTGAGATCCTTGACACTCGAGTGGCAATTTTTGTTGAAGGATTTGGATACATATAACCCATTGGTGTTGAGGCAGTTCAGAGCAAGAAAGGGTTGGATGTGGTTTACTAAGAGATTAGAGGATGCCAAGGAGTACATCGTCCGAGAGTTCTACACAAATATTTCTCACAACCAGAAAGGGATGAAGGTAACTAAACTACACAACCTCAATGTGAGGTTCAATCACCACACATTAAATGCGTACTTGGGATTTGAGGACTTGGAGCCGAAAGAGTATCTAGAGAAGTGTGCAATGAAAGAAGAAATTTGACCTTAGCTAGCAGAGATATTAGCACCACCAGGGCCACCACAACCATGGATCACTTCTGGGGTTCTCATCTACCGGAGCACATTAGTTTCGAGGCAAAGGGATGGCAGACTTTTGTATGCAGCAAACTTGATTTGTGCCAGAACGAGACTCATTCGCCTCATCCACATGATGTTCTTGTGGCTTCTATCATGGCCGGATACCCAATTAACGTGGATGTCGTGATTTCGGCCAACATTTCATTGGTAGCTCAGTAGACCACACAGCCTACCCTTATCCCAACACCATTACAGAGTACCTTACTAATGCAAAGGTAGAGCCGAGGACATATGACACAAAGATGAAGCCAAAGAATCCATTTGACTGGTACTCCTTGATGGATGCAACCAATCTAAAGAAGAGAGTTTAGCCTTCTACCACCACAGGCCAGTTTGATGAGTCGGAAGTGGTAGTTACTGAGACAGCTGACATTCCATCTACCTCTATTGAGCCCTTTTCTAATGTTGTTGCTATGCCTCCGCCACCATCTTCAGATCCAACCACAGCCCCTGCTCCAGCTCTGAGGCCAGAGCCCATGCCCATAGCTCCATTATCTGCTCTGCGAGTCTCCCGGATGTTGGCGAGTCTCAACAACTAGATGCACTCAACTATTTCAAAGTTGTCTGATATATTTAGTACTGTTGCAGCACAGTCATCTACACAGGCACCTCAGGTCTCCTCTGATCTTGATGAGAAGTTGAAGAAGATTCTGGACAACTAAAAAAGGATCATGGACACTCTGGTATAACACGGGTCAATTATTGAAGAGTTGGCCAATGAAGTGAAGAAGATGAGGAAGTCCCAAGTAAGCAAGAGATCGGTTGACAAGCTCAGGAAGGAGGTAACCAGACTTGTGATGGTTGTGGATCTACCTTTTGATATATTACTTGACCCACACCAGTCCGTTCCAGATCCATCTGCACCGGTTGCACTAGCTGACCAGTCTGATGAGCCATGCCTTGCTGCCGACATTGCTGAGGCAGTGCGTGCGATGTTTGTCACTCTCGCCACTCCCAGATATAATGATGATGAGATACAGCTGGCTGACCCGACGGGAGATGATGTGCTAGGGACACTGAAATGTCCAGGGATCCTTAGGGAGTTTTCTTTGCCTTCCCTCTTTTCACTCTTATTTGTTAAGAATTGGGGACAATGCTTACTTTTATTCAGGGCGGTGGAGTTTATTTTATTTGACATTGACACATTATTGATACATTTGGACTGTAATATTTGGATTATTTTGTTCCTTTTCTTCTTTGTCGTTTATTTATCTTTAGTAGTTATTGTTTAGTAGCTTCTTTATTTTTTCCACTTTAGTTCTTGTTTTGATTAGTAGCTTCTTTTTATGTTTTTGTAAATAATAAGCCTTTGGTTTTCTTATTTCATGGTTCTTTTCAAAGGTAGTTTTTGTGTGAACCGGGTGACTCATCCCAACGATGGATGGCGTGACAACTCTCTTAAAGGAATAAGTATGTTTTTGTGTTTAGTTAATAATAGTAGTAGTAGTAATGAATAAAAGGCCTAATCAAGTCATTCTCGAAAAAGAGTTATTCATGCTTCATTTGGTACCAACACACTTAACTACGTGGTTATGGTTTGAAACAAGGCTTTCGAAAGAAAATAGCTCTAGTTGGTGACTTTGAGACTCTTGAATTGACTTTGGTAATCATCAAGTGGTTTATTGGACCATAGTGATCTTTAACTTGAGTGTGGTTGTTGTAGGCTCTCGACTCTATCCTCTTTTACGGTCTAGTTATGTGACGGGTGAGGTGATTTGTTGCTAGTCTAAGTATCCGTGCGAATGGTCAAGAACTTGCCCTGAATGTGCTTCAAGGCGAAATCCTAATTTTTTCTTCATTCGAGAAATGATTGTAGGCTTTACTTGGCCCGTTTGAGCTTTTTGTTGCCAACCAATATCGTTATCCCTAGTCAACCCCCTTTGAGTGTCTAGCCTTTCTCATTTGATAACCATGTATAAGCCTTTACCCATTTTGTCGTGATCCTCTCTTGGCACCCGGACCTTCCTTAACAACCTTGTAAAATAAGTAGCTTAAGGCATAAGTTTGGGGGAGAGTTGAGGAATTTGAAAGAGGTATCAGGTAAAAAAAAGAGAATAATTGGAAGGGTTGATGGATTCAAAAAGAGGTAATAATCCCTAACATGAGCATCAAGGGAGAAAAATAATGAAATGAACAAGAAAAAGTGATATCATGTCTCTCTCTACCCCCCAATAAAAAGAGAATGCCTCTAAGAATTGGTAATTGTGAGCCAAGAAATGAAAATATGGAGTGCTTAAGGAAAGGTGTAACCACTTACTCATATGGTACTACCCTAATCCAAAATCCTTTATTACAACCCGAAAGAAGTCCTACTTCATTCCGAACCGAGTGAGCTTACATTAGTGCTGATTTACCCTCAAGTAACATGCCCTGTGCTTGCATAGGTCCAGCGCTTGATACATTTCTATCAATACCATAGGGACATAGTGTAAGTCTATCCCTTAATTACCTCCATCATGGTTCTGGCTACCATGGCTAGTCAGGTATGGATTTTAACTCCTTCCAGATCAGCAGCCCCAAGAAAACACATTATGAAAACATAAACCTTAGGGTGAATCCACCCAATAAAAGTGATGGCCAATTCTTCGTGAAACAACTGGTATGATTTGATATGTCCATATTGTTCATACAGAAAGTCAAAAGAAATGTAAGACTTTGTCAAATAGCCCAATTCATCGCTCTTTTTGATCCCGAACCTTTTCAGAAAACCATGGGGTGTGCAGTTTTTTGGTACCAGCAAAATCGGATTATCCCAAGGGAATTTAGCAAAACATCCAGTTTCCTCCAAGAACGGGTCATATCCAATATTACGAATCAAAAGATGGCCCCCTTAATAATTCATAAAAAAAAAAGCCGTGCAAACGCTCTCCCCTCTCTCTACTTTCTCTCTCTTCGTCTTCATGCAATTCTTAGGGGGCTGCCATGGCTTCCAGCGTCTCTCTCTAGCCCTTGGTTGTGGGAGAGCAGAATCATAACACTAATGCGACAAACACGATCCTTAATACTAAGTAGTCATATGCGGCGCGAATCGTTACCAAAGAATCTGCTCAAAATTATCAAAATATAAGTTTATTTCCAGTTAGAATTGAACATGGAGAACCAACCATTGAATTCACCATGGAGGAGGTTAACAATTTCACCATCGAAGAAGGGCTTCATCAAGCAGTCATCGTCAAGTTTTCATATGGAAAACCAGAGTTGCACGAGTTTAGAAAGAATTTTGCGAAACAGTTCGAGATTAAAGGATATTGCAACATCGGGCAGCTTGAATTTCGACATATATTAGTAAGATTTGATTTGTTTGATGATTATGTCCAGTTTGTATCAAGGTCTACTGGATATATTAAATCTAAAAGAGATGAATTTTTCTTCAGAACATTCCCGTGGACGCTAGTTTTTAATCCTAGAGAAGAAACATCAAAGTCAGCTGTGTGGATTTCTTTCCCAGATCTGCCGCCCAATTTTTTTGCACGAAAATCATTGTCGATCGCTTCAGCAGTAGGGAAACCACTTGTTGTAGACAAGGCGACGCAGGATCGTACTAGGCCAAGTGCTGCGAGAGTTAACGTTTTGTTAGACCTTTTGGACAAACATCCTAAGAAAGTTAAGATTCACATCGTCGACAATGTTTCTGGTAAGTATGTGGAGTTTCATCAACAGGTGGTATATGATAACCTTCCAAAGTATTGTACCTGCTGTAAGCATCAAGGACATGATGAAAATTCATGTCGATCAATACAAGGAAGAAACAGTGAAGTCTACAAAAATACAGTGCACGTTGATATGAATGGTGTGGAGCTGAATAATGTCGAGAAGTTAAAAGGTGATGATAGGGAGTTGTTGAATGCCAAACGAGCTGCAAATAAAATTCAACAAACTAATGTGATACCAGTAGAGAAGATCGTGGATGTGATATTGATGCAAATCGTAAGGCTAATGTAGTTACTGTTGATCGAGCATTAGCAAGGATTAACATAGCTTTGGAGACACATGTGGGGAAGGATAATGATGACAAGGTTGCTGGTGAGAATGAGGAGAAATTAGCTGGGCAGGTGGTTAACAATCCAGGTAAAGCTGGTACTGTTTCGTTAATGGCAGGTGTAAGAGCTGTCGCAACTGATACTGTTGAAGCAGCTGTCCAAACATCTAGTTTAAATGATGTTGGTGTTAGAGGATCTGGTGTTAAAGGGGCTGGGCAATTTTCTAATGGCCAAGGGTAGGAAAAGGAACAACAAGGTACACAAGCAGCAATTAAAAGTACTTCTTCTAATAAAGGAGGACAAACAACTAATCGTGGAGTCTCCGGTAGTACTCAGTTTGCTGGTGCTTTGAATGCACCTGAAAAATATGGTGATCAATTGATGTTTCATGAGCAATCAGCTAGTGGAATTGCAGTAGCTATGACTGATGTTTCTCAGGCGTTAGAGGGGGAAGAGAAGGAAGCTGGAGTTGATAAAAATCCTGCTGCATTAGCTGATCTAGTTGAAAAACCAGCAGCCATTTTAGCTACTGCTGTGCAAGCTGGGCAGCTACTTTCTCCAGCCAAAACTGGACGTGTTTTTGTTGGTAAGGCTGTTACAGCTCACCTGGAGACAGCAGATACTCAAAATTCAGATGTCCAAGCAATGCAAAAATCAAATGGTAGGGATTGGACAGTGGTGAATCGATCACCAAACAAGCAGAATTATCCTGTTAGTAAAAATCAGTTTGCATCAAAGAATGTTGGTCATGATTTGGCCTCAACATCTTGGCTTTTTAAGCCTCCAGGCAGTGGCAAACACCAGCAGTCCATGAAAAATGCAGAAGCTGGATCAAAATTCTCAAATGATCTTGCTCTTGTTCCTGTCGACGAGCAAAAAGCTGGGGCAGTACCTAATGCAGCTTCACCAGATTTACTCTTATCCAATCCAGATCTGGACAAAATGGTAAAGGATGCTCAGGCTGCAATGGTAGTGAATACCACTACGGGCAAGCAAGCTCACAGTTCCAATACACCAACGCTGCATTTTTCCAGTCCTCAAGTCGAAAAGATTATCAAGGACGCCCAGATTGCAATGGCAGTGCATACCACTATGGTTAAACAACCAATAGTTACTTTGAACACATCCGTGTTTGAAATTCCTTCACAATCAATGGAGTCGTGTGGTGAGTATGGAGGTGAATCTGGGCAGATGGTGCTGTCCACTGGAAATAACAATGATGTTATAAAGGCAAATTTGAGAGGGATGGCAATCAAATCTAAGCTATGGTCAGACCAACGCGAGTATGATGATGAGGAAGACTATGGTGATGCGTATATTGGGAATTCGAGTGAGGATGATGATCATGAGGTCGATCAGGAGAGTGCAGGTGAAGACCCTGATTCACTAACACTGCCTAAATCACATGGTACACCAACAGCGAGCCACAAAAGCAAATTAAACCTCAATGCACCAGCTTTCATTCCCAGGAACTCTCCTGTTGTTGCTCGTGAAAATGCAGCAGTTGGAAACATAATTCAAAATGCAGCAACACATAATAAAAAGAATGCTCCAGGTGAGGTTACAAGCCAATATATGCAGCAGCAGCAGGTTAATCCAAACACTACAGCTGATGTTAATGTTGAGGGACGAAAAGCAACAACAATTAAAGTATCTGGGCCGCAGCAGCTACATGTAAATGC